CCCCACTCCCTCAGCACTGACCCTCCGACAGTGCCCGCTCCCTCAGCACTGACCCTCCGACAGTGCGGCGCTCCCTCAGCACTGACCCTCCGACAGTGCCCGCTCTCTCAGCACTGACCCTCCGACAGTGCCCGCTCCCTCAGCACTGACCCTCCGACAGTGCGGCGCTCCCTCAGCACTGAGAGTCCCTCATTGTTAGTGGATGATAAAGGGTGGACCTGAGAGTTGTGCTTTGTTACCGACATGTTTTCTCTTTTTGTTGTTGTCTCGATGCAGTCACAGTGGAACAACATGTGGGAAATGTGTTCATGTTCAGCAAGGTGGCCAACCTCATCCTGTTCTTTCGTCTTGACATCCGAATGGGGCTGCTGTACCTCACCCTGTGCGTAGGTTGGTAAACTTTTTGTTCTCATCTGGGCCTTGACCACCACATGGGTCTTCCAGTCGGGGTGCAGGAATGCAAAGATTGTGCCTCTTTCCCCATTTTGCAATGATTTGATTTATTATTGTCACTTGTACAGTGAAAAGCATTGTTTTGCATGGTTTACATACGCACATCAGTATAATAGAACAGAATTCAGAATATAATGTTATAGCTGCAGAGATACATTAACTTTAACAAAGAGAGGTTCATTCAAAAACCCTGTTAGCAGCAGGGAAGAAGCTGTTCCTGAATCTGTTGGCATGTGTTTTCAAACCTTTTGACCTGTGTTGGATCTAGAGTGCTTTCCACACTTTGGCACTGTCCCAATTCAAACAGTCAACAGTGAAAGAGGGGTATATTCATGCCTGAAAGTTATACAGATAAAGGACAGGGGGAGGCTATTTGTTCTCTCATGTTCTGAACTAACTCTCTCACTCACCTCATGCCACTCACCCATCTCTTTCCCATGCAGCCAGTTATTATTTCTCTCCAGACGATAATTGTATTCCCTGTTGAAAAGCCCCAATTGGAGTCATAAGAGTTGCACAGCACGGAAACAGACCCTTCGGCTCAACTCATCCATGCTGACCCAGATATCCTAAATTAATCTAGTCCCATTTGCCAGCATTTGGCCCACATCCCTCTAAACCTTTCCTATTCATGTACCCATCCCAGATGCCTTTTAAATGTTGTAACTGTACTAGCCTCCACCACTTCCTCTGGCAGCTCATTCCATACACTCACCACCCTCTGTGTGAAAAAGTTGCCCCTTAGGTCCCTCTTAAATTTCTACCCTCTCACCTTAAACCTATGCCCCTCTAGTTTTGGCCTTCCCACCCCAGAGAAAAGACCTTGTCTATTTACCCTATCCATGTCCCTCGTGATTTTATAAACCTCTATAAGGTCACCCCTCAGCCTCCAACATTCCAGTGAAAATAGCCCCAGTCTATTTAGCCTCACCCTGTAGCTCAAACCCTCCAACCCTGGCAACATCCTTGTAAATATTTCTGAACCCTTTCAATTTTCACTACATCCTTCCTATAGCAGGGAGACCAGAATTGCATGCAGTTTTCCAAAAGTGGCCGAACCAGTGTCCTGTATAGGACATGGCCTCCCAACTCCTATACTCAATGCACTGAGCAATAAAGGCAAGCATACCAAACACTTCCTTCACTATCCTGTCTCCCTGCAACTCCACTTTCAAGGAACTATGAACCTGCCCCCTGCAAGGTCTCTTTGTTCAGCAACACTCCCCAGGACCTTACCATTAAGTGTACAAGTCCTGCCCTGATGTGCCTTTCCAAAATGCAGCACCTCACATTTATCTAAATTAAATTGACCTGCCTCCCCACACTCTCAGGCAGCACCTTCCAGACCCTAACCCCTTGATTGACCCTGCCTCACACCCCACACTCTCAGGCAGCACCTTCCAGACCCTAACCCCTCCATTGATCCTGCTTCATACCCCACATTCTCAGGCAGCACCTTCGAGATCCTAACCCCTCCATTGATCCTGCCTACCCCCCCACACTCTCAGGCAGCACCTTCCAGACCCTAACGCCTCAGCGACACTGAAGGAACGGCTGATATATTTCCAAGTCACGATGCTGAGTGGCTCGGAGGGGAAGTTGCAGGGGGTGGGGGTCCCATGTATCTGCTGCCCCTTGCCCTTCTGGATGGAAGTGGCCGTGGGTTTGGAAGGTGCTGCCTGAGGATCTTTGGTGAATCTCTGCAGTGCATCTTGTAGATGGTACACACTGCTGCTACTGAGCGTCGGTGGGTGGGGGGGAGTGGGATGTTTGTGGATGAATCTATTTAGATCCAGTCTCACAATGTCACTGGAGTCTGTGATACCAGAACATGTCCAATAATTCAGTCTAACCTGCTCCCCCAGGCGTACATTCGAGGCGGGGGATGTTCATGTCATGTTGGGCCCCCACTCCCAACAATTCGGGGCAATTTTCCTGGGAGGCACCAGGCTGTGTGGGGTGGGGGGACGCGGGGCTGTAGCTTTGATGGCGTTTTGTGTACAACTTCCTCACTCTCCCTTTCTCTTGTTTGTGCAGTCTTCCTGATGACCTGTAAGCCACCTCTCTACATGGGGCCGGAGTACATCACCTATTTCAACGATAAGACCATCGATGTGAGTCAGCGGAGCTCCATGCTCCCCTCCCTCTCCCGGCCTTTCCTTCCCCACACCTTGGCTTCCCACCCTGTGCCTGCCTCTTGTTGCCTCTGCGTTGACCCTTCCGCTTCTCCCCTGCTTTCCCCTCCCTTGCCCCCTCGGAGAAGTTGGACCCAACTCCTCGCTGGTCCCCTGCAGCCTACCCCCCCCAGCCCGGCTGAGTCCTGCCGGGGGGGCTCTGGGTTCGTTCAGCTTCTCAGAGCCTCCAGTCCGACGGAAAGTTGTTGCGAGATCGGCAAGAGGCTCCGACAGAGAATTCCTGACCTCGGCAGCTGCAGACTCCCAGCACCAAGGCTGGAGGGGATTACAGAGATAGGGAGGGGGTGTAGGGGCTGGAGGGGGTTACAGAGATAGGGAGGGGTGTAGGGGGTGGAGGGGGTTACAGAGACAGGGAGGGGTGTAGAGGCTGTAGGGGGTTACAGAGATAGGGAGGGGGTGTAGAGGCTGGAGGGGGTTACAGAGATAGGGAGGGGTGTAGGGGCTGGAGGAGGTAACAGATAGGGAAGGGGTGTAGGGTCTGGAGGTGGTGTAGAGGGTGTAGGGGCTGGAGGGGGTTACAGAGATAGGGAGGGGGTGT